CTGCTAATCTTTCTTCAAATTTTATCCTCCATTCCAAGAAAAACTGAAAAAGTTCACAAAATAATATAATTATAAAGTTGATGTAAGCTGGAATGTACTAACAGTACTACAAACATGATCAAAAATTCATGCAAATAAATGTGTTTACAATCATGACTTTTTTTTAATAAAAATGGTGTATCAATTTATGGGGCTCATGGTTGGAAACCAAATAGTTTACTGGCTGACTTCAGGTTGCCTGTTGAAAGCTAGATGTGGAAGTTTACACTGGTGTAAAAGTAGATTACACACCACAAATCCAAGAAACAACAAGAGTACCAACGACATCAAGAATTAACAAGAAGCTATAAAAATTCAAAGGTGCCTTCAGAGGGCAGAAAGTAAATAGGAGAGTTTATCAGATTTTTGTAAACTCATCTTTACTGAACCTGTATTTAGTGGCCATTGGTAAATTAAAATAGCTCAGCAGTACAACATGTCTATCACATCATTGGGCTGCCTGAGTAAAATGTTGACAATCATGTCGTTAGGCTGCCTGAGCTGCATGAATTGGAGATTGCTTAGCAGTTAAACATCTTTGGGGCATATATTAGATATGGAGTATTTTGTCATTGCATAGGAACATAATAATGGTGATTTATCATAGTCTTAGCAGAAGTATTAAAAGTATTCACAGAGCTTGAAGTTGCTTTAGTGATGTATAGTTTTAGATTTYCGCTGTTGAGTTTTTGACTTAAATATTACTGGCCAGGGAACAAAATAATGACTAGATTGTGCATTGTTTCTTGATTGGCAAAACAGTTTTTCACTGTGAGATATTGTTAAATGAAGAAGCCAAGAACAAGTCATGCAAGATGCACTTAAGATATTGCTGACTTTAATGTGCTTATTGGAACTGCTACTCAAATGCTTGTCAAGGCAAGCAAGCACCATAAATCACAAATMATGAACTTATTACATTTTGCTACTTCAACCAAATCTGTTGTCTCAAGGATTTACAGTGTGCACTCTACTTCACCATGACAACATGTCACAGCCATGGAAGTTTAGTTTCAAAAATCAGAATCCTTGCACATACCCTTGCTTTGAGCATTATATTGTAATGCTTAGCAGCCTGACAATTACGAAGGAATTTTTTCCATTGATTCAGACAACCTTGCAGCATTAAGGCATTGTGCGTCTGCAATTGATTRTGCACTAGCTGGTTGTGCTTCTGAGACTGATTGTATGCAGCTTGCCATTTCTTGAACATCWGYKCAACCTGAAAATTAGGTCCAGGAAGAGAGGTTGCTTTCTATAGCTTCTAATAGTCCAACAACAAGCACTTATTGCCTGGACAGGCCCAGGCTCAAATGACTAACTAGATGATTTACTCATTTTGTTTAAAGTTTTACATGTACACTTTACCAAATATTACCCAATATCATTATTCACATCAAAAATTCAATAAGCTATGCTTCTTATACCTTCTGTCCCGTTACTTCCATCTGAAATTTCTCAATTTTCTTCCTCACTTTGATCTTATCTCTGATCACCACCTTCCACACTTCCAAGATCCTAAAATGGAATGATTGTATAGATGTATGTCAATAACACTCTCATATCAAATAATTTGAATTCTGCTAGTAGTTCAACTTATTGAGGTGGAAACTAGCGGTWAACTAGTGTGAGCTGTGTTGGTGTTTCTAAAGAAACAGTTAATGTACATGTAAAAAGATAGAATTTAACACTGTAAAAAATATAGGTGAAACAACTTAACATACTGACATTTTGGGCATTAATCCTTTTTACACAACTCAATAAGTAATGGTAAATGTTACCATAGCAAATTTAATATCTACCGTTTCTTGAGATTTCTTTCATGGTGAAGTTTCGCTCTTCTGCTCTTCTTGGTGGTTGTCACCCAATATGCAAAAGACGACTTCATTAGGCTATCACCAACACTGACTTGGAACTCATCAGCTTGAGCTTGTTGTYGTTTGGTTTCTATTAAAAACAATTAAAATTATAAATAACATTTTATCAATGTTGGTATAACACAATAGGGGAGTGAAGGGATAAAATGTTAGAAAAGAAGTGATAAAAAGGGAAGAAAAGAGAAAGAGAAAAGAAAAAAAAGCTCAAAGAATCAAGCTTAAGCAAGGAAAAGAGCGCTGAACTCATTCCAACACTGTTGTCATAAGAACATAGTACATAAAAGAATTGTATATGGTATATTTGCCAACAAAAGAAACTTCCAGTAGGGTTGGCTCTTTCAATAGGCCATGAGAATGCAGAGGACCCCATTTCATGGCATATTTACCAACCACAATTATTAAAACATTTCACAAAACTGCATCATGTACAGATTGGAGAGGGGACAGAAAACAGAAATACATATGCTCAACATCACTCACTGATGGTCCACTGCTTCCAGTGCATGGCTGTCTGACGTATGCGTCTGTAGAAAACTTTCTGAAAATCAGAAAAAATGAACACAATGTACAATCATGTAAATATTTGTGTCAATAAGAGAACAACAACAGTCATTGCAATTGAAAAACCTCACCTCCATTACTTTCTGCAGACCTTTCTTTTGAGAATGACGAAGCCTCCACTTATTAAAAGTCTGATAAAAATATAAAATAACCTGTTTTATATCACAAATTATGAAGATGCCTCAGGCATGGTTTGGAAACTTTATTATTTCATAACATTCTGGTTTGAAGTCCAACCTTTGTTACTTTATCATTACAAGAGACAAATCCTTTTAAGATCTTTCTTCAGCGGAAACTTAGTATAACAATATATATATTTAGTATTTAACTGCTTGCTGCATTTTTTTTTTTTATTCTATTGGTTGTCTATTTGCTGACTTTCTTTAAGCTTCCAAAATCTTGTTTGGAGTTTTTGCTTGTTTATTCATATTCTTCTTGGTTTAACCTTATATCTCACTCCTTTATCTCCTTCATTACAATGTATTATTTTTGCTGTGACTTGTCCAATTATGAATAACCTCTTGTTTCCCTGTCAATTTTCCTAGTGTTGATTTACCTTAAGAACAAGTCTTTCATCGTGATGCTTCTGTGATCTGCACTTCAGAGTATACTTCCTCCATTTCACCATACAAAACCGTAAATGCTGTTCTTGTTTTGCATGAAGATGATCATCTAAGATTTCTTGGATAAGAACCTGACGTTCAAAGCTGTTTTTCCATGTGGAAAACGACTCCATTAACTAACATAGAATTGCACAAAATGACATGATTAGTTCTCAACAAGACCCTCCAAACTGCAACTAAAAAACTGTTCCAAAGACACCAATGTCATAAGTTCTGTAGAGTTACAAGTCTTTCTCCTATTAAGCATTTTTCTTTCCTGGTTACTCACCAGTGCTTTGTTCTTGGCTGCCTCCACTTGAGTAAGGATTTTTCTGCATAAAACTTTGGTGTGTGCATAGCTGTACCAGGCATTTAGAGAACTGTGATATAAGCATAACAGAAGATATTCTCAATAACCAAATATTTACTACAACATACTGGGTTTGTGCTACATTTTCACTACAAAATTCCAGGACTTTTCAAGTACTTATAAAGCACACAAAAGAGATTTTCAAGGAGTATTTTTGAAGATATTTTTTGATGTTTACAGAAGTTTCAAGTGGTGGTTTTCAAAAATAGCCACATTGTCAATTTTATCAGATTCAAGGAGTGTTTTCCAGGAGTTTCAGAGTGATGTTCAACATTTTCAAGGGCTTTCAAGCACCCACATTTTCAATGCCAAGGATTTCAAGGAGTAGCATGGGCCCTGGTATTCTCAATAAATAATCAATTCACTACAGCATAGGTAAGGATGGCTTACTTTACATACAACAACATATTACCTTCTACACGTAGTGACAGCATAATGATGCTTGGCTTTCTGAATCTTATGAGTTGCCTGCATCCAGTTCACGAATGCTTGGCGAAGGTTCTTTTTGTCAGTCAGTTGGCAGACTTCCATGGCTTTGCTGTTTAATGCCTTTGAATCTGAAAGACAAAGTATTAAACCATGAGCACAGTTATGTAATTTTTAAGTAAGCATCAGACCCTACCAGGACAGGTATGATGATCATCAACATTGTCATCCTCATTAACATCATCATCATCATCATCATTATAATCATCATCATCATCATCTTCATCATCATCATCATTATCATTATCATCATCAT